TATTTTTAGAACCTGATGTTGGAATGCCAGAGTATCTTGCACAACACTATTTTAAACAAGTTGTGGCCGGAATGGTGAGAAATGATTTTAAAAAAATACGAAAAGAAATAATTTACTAGAACATATTTTTGGGTTATCTTCACAGTCTTGGTGCTGCACATCGAGGTTCGATAAGAAACTGCTTATCGTTTTTTTTCTATATGTATTTTTCTTGCTCAATTAGATCTTTAAACCTGAAAACCTTCTCATATCTAATAATAGTAAGATGAAAAATTGATTTTTTAGTTTTTAGACGCGCTCAAGATTTGTGACTTCGGTTTAGCTACACTTTTTCGTAGGCAGACTACAAAAGAGGAACGAAAACTAACTACGTAATGTGGCACAACATCATATTCATCTCCAAAGGTAATTATCTCGCTCGATTTATCTAATTTTGCTTTTAATGATTTCCGATCGTGCATTCGTTAATTTCTCGAAAAACAAAAGAAACAGTATACAAAGAATTGCATGAGAAATATTTATTTGTCGAAGTAAAGATTACTATAAATCACTATAAGTGTAATAATTTATTCGATAGAGATACATACTTGTCGACTATACTATTTTCTACAGGAAGTGCGATGCCATCGAATGGCTTGCATATTTTATATCTACTAAAGCGAACGGCGTTTTGATTAATATGCATACAATGACCTAATCGACTGTTTTCAATAGATTAGTCCACTGCCCAAGGCGTAATCAATCAGGAAATACTTGATTGAAAAGCATCAAATATAAATAAGATAATCTCGATGACTACCTTATGCTATCAATGGATTATTTCTAATAATGTTTTGTTTTAGGTATGGGCGAAAACACCGTATCGAGGTGAACCAGTGGATGTATGGTCGTGTGGTGTTATTTTAACTGCAATGCTTACTGGAGGTAGATTTTGCTTTTAATAAAAATTTACGTGTTAGATCTTTTGTTAACTATTTTTAGAATTGCCATGGGATCAACCGTCTTATCCAAACTCCTGAATATAAACGTTGGTTAGATCGTGATTATTACCATAATCCATGGAAGAAAATCGAAAATATGATTCTAAGTATGAGTGCTATCAACTAGAGAGGCTCTTTCGTTCTAATCCATATGCTATTTTCTTCGTAGATCTTCGTCGAATTCATGTTCACGATCCAGCACAACGTGCTCGAGTTATCAACATTCACAAGATACAATTCTTTTGAAGGAATTTTATATATTCCAATTATTCTTTAGATGGTACTGAAATTGATCATCATTTGTTGAAACGCATGGCGTAGGTATTTTTGTACTTCTTTAGTCAAAATTCACATGAAAATTTTTGTAACATTTAGAGTAAAATATGACGAACCATGCTGGTCATTAACACAGCCGAATCAAAGTACAACGTCAACGGTTATATCACCATCGTCTACAGATGATTCAATGGTGAACTGTGTCTCACAAACTATTAAGTTTGATGATTTTATTTTGATCACAGAACCGAGATCACTTACAGAAATGGGTGATGTAAGTGAAACCTTCTTTCTTTACTTGGTTTACTATCATAAATGTAATTTTTTAGCAAGATCCATCGGAACATCTTG